CGCGTTCTTCTCTCCGGTGGAGATGCCGGGAGAGCCAGCAACTCTCAAGGAGGCTTTGGAGAGTAGTGATGCTGAGGAGTGGAAGAAGGCCATGGAGAGTGAGCTGAAGAGCATCGAGGAGAATGACACGTTTGAATTGGTGGAGCTACCGGAGGGGCGTACGGCGATAACGTCCAAGTGGCTCTTCAAAATCAAGTCGGATGCCGACGGCAAGATCGAGCACTACAAGTCTAGGCTTGTAGCCAAGGGGTACCAGAAGAAGGAGAAGGTGGACTTCAAGGAGCTGTTTGCCCCTGTGGTGAAGCCGACAACGCTGCGAACCCTATTCGCGGAAGCCGCCATCAAAGGATGGGTGGTGAAGCAAATGGACATTGTGACGGCATTCCTTAACGGCATCCTTGAGGAGGAGATTTTTATGGCGCAACCAGAGGGGTTTGATGATGGTAGTGGCAGAGTGTGGAAGCTGAAGAAGGCCCTCTATGGGCTGAAGCAGGCCCCTAGGCAATGGTACATGAAGCTGCGCGAAGTGTTGGAGGAGATCGGCTTCACTCCCTCAACGGCCGATCACTCCTTGTTCATGCTTGGCGAGGGGGAGCAGAGGAGCTTCATGGTGGTTTATGTGGATGACATTCTCATATTCTCACCCTCCTCTGACCTTGTGAAGGAGGTGATGCTGAAGCTGCATGACAAGTTCAAGTGCAAGTCCCTTGGTGACGTGAACTTCTACCTTGGGCTCCACATCGAACGAGACGTGGAGAAGCGGAGCATGCGAGTGCACCAACGGAAGTACCTGGAGGCGTTGGCTGCCAACTTTGGCCAGAGTGAAGGTCATGTGGCTACTCCCTTTCCCTCTGGGTTCAAGTGTGTGAAGGGACCAGAGGAGGAGAGCGTTTGCGAAGAGGAGAGGCGCCGATTTCACTCGTTGGTGGGCAGCCTCATGTATGCGGCGGTAAACACCCGACCGGACGTCGCGTTTGCTACCGAGCAGCTGGCTAGGGTTGTGCAATGCCCTAATGAGGAGCAGGTAGCAGCTGGAATGAGGGTGGCCAAGTATCTTGGCCAAACACCGACCGTTGGGCTGCAATACTCGGCGGCGGCACAAAGGCGCCAAAAGGGCGCGGATGGTGTTGAACCCGGGCGTTTGTTCCTCACCGCCTACTCGGATGCTTCATATGCATCAGAACCAGAGGACATGACAAGTGTGGGAGGCTTCATATGCTGTGTTGGTGGAGGCCCAACTACTTGGGAGAGCAAGAAGCAGGTTGACCAAGCTTTGAGCTCGGTGGAGTCCGAGTACATGGCACTCTTCCGTGCCATACGGGAGATTGTGTGGCAGCGGCGTTTGTTGTCTGAATTGGGGGAGGAGCAGCAAGGACCTACCCCACTGTATTGTGACAGCAAGGGTGCCATTGCTCTTGCTAAGAACCTTGTGTTGCATGGACTCACGAAGCACATGAGGGTGAAGTGGCATTGGACGCGGAGCATGGTAACCGCGGGTGAAGTTGAGTTGCGCTACGTGAAGACCACGGGGCAGCCGGCTGACATGATGACCAAGAGGCTGGTGGAGCAGCAGCATTGGAAGTGTTGCAAGCTAGCTGGGATGGCTCTGAACTGAGAGAGCAACATATCCTAAGGCCAACAATCCGAGGGGGAGTTTGTTGGTGCAACCCTATGGTTTGCACTCGGCTTGTTGTCCGTGTGCATGCATGTGTGTGTGTATGGAATGGTATGAGGGCATGGGATAATATATATTTCATGCTTATAATTGTGTGTGAATGTTGAGTCATGATGTCGAGTGTGTGTGTTGAGTCAATAGCGAGTTATCGCTAGACGCGTGTTACGCGGTCGTTTGTGTCTCGCGCGCGGTTTCTATTTTGTCGTGCGCGGTTTCTATTTTGTCCTGTGTCGAACGTTCAGTGTGTCGCAGGTGTGTGCAGCAGACCCATCAAGAACTCAAGGATGAGTTTGTGATGAAGAGCCCGAGCCTTGGTGTCAAGCCTCAAGTGATTTCGAAGCTCGCCAAAAGGGTACACCTCTAGATATTGAAGATAGTTACATTACTTTGTGTAGTGTAACATTTCACTTGGTGTAGGCCCTAGTGAAGGGTAGTTTCGAGACCCTTCGTGGTTGGGGACAGTGTGGCACTGTTCCACATCACTGTACCTCGGCTCTTGGGGTTTGTAGGAGCTGGGAGTCATTCCCAACTCGTAACTCTTCCTAACTCTTTCCTATCTTGTGTTCTAAGACTATATTGGCTGCCATAGTGCCGTTCGTTCAAACCAATGCTGTGTCGTCAATACTTGGTCAAATCGTGCGATCTAAATGTCCTAGTGTAGGCGAGAATAAGTCGCTCCAGATCCAAGTTGAATCAAGTCAGTTGAAGCTGTGACAAGAACGCTATGAACGTTTGAAGCCGTTGTGCAGAAATCCGACTGTGCACTCTATCTTTCGTTTTAGGCACATTGGAGCCTACTGTGACTATAACAAGAATTGCCTCCAACAGGGACAATGTCGAGGCTCCAGACCTGCCACTGCTTTGTAGATTGTATGGCATTCTCATCGAACCTACTCAGTGTCAGTGCTACTCATGTCGCTCAGATAATCTGCTGCCACACTCTTGTGTACTCTTGTGCTCTTGCACACGCTCTCGAGTTGTCGCACTCATGTACTCTCAGAATCTTTCTCACTTGCGATTCACATGCTATGTCTCCCTCTTGCACTTTCACTCACACTTTTCTCATGCATTTTTGCACCGTCGCATGCTGGGAATGTAGCGTTCCTGCAATCGCATCTTGCAATGCTGCACTCTTGCAGCTTGCTCTCGTCTCTCTACCGCGCTCTCACGTGCTATTGCTCTCGCTATCTTCCACTCTTTCAATCTTGCCCTCGTGGGCACTTGCATCCTTGCGCTCCTGTACTCCTGCACTTCTTGCACTCTTGCAATTCCGCACTCACCCTTGCACTATCACTCTCTTCTCAATCTCGCACTCTCACACTCTTCCAATCTTTCTTTCTCTTACACTCACGCAATCTTCCACTCTTGCAATCTTGCACCATTATATTCTTACCCTTGTGATTTTACGTGCTTGCATCCTTGCCTTGCACTATTGCACTATTTTCAATTTGAATTCTTTATTCATGCACTGCACAATCGGAAACTAGCACTATCTCACCGTTGCAATCAACCTCACTCCTCATAGGCCACTCTCGAAATATTTCACCCTTGCATGTTTGCAATGTCCCTCACTTCTCACTTTGCCACTCTCAAAATCTTGCACACTTGCACTCTCGCACTATTCCACTGCTGCAATTCCGCACTCTCGCAGCCTTGCCCTCTTGCACTTTTTCACAGTTTGGCAAGCCTCTTGCACACTTGTAAACTCGCACTCCTGCACTCGTGCATTCTTCCACACACATAATCTTGCACTGTCGCCCACTTGTAGCGCTAGCTCTTATCCCTCATGTGCTCTCGCACTCTAGCACTCTTGCCCCCTCGCATCCGTTGCACACTTGCAATTTCTCTTTCTCTCTCTCACACTCTCTCACTCCTGCTTGCCTCTTTACCTCCCCTGCCCATCCCCCACCGCCCAACAGCCAATGCAATGATGGCGTTGAAGCCTGCTCTGGGTGTGACCCTCACCACGTAGGACACCACCAACCCCTGCCGCCTCACCGGGATAACAACGCCCATCCAGAACGAATGGACTGGCGTGTACTGCAATCTCGCCAGCTCTGTGTACTCTATGTGAGTAGCCACCTGGTCAGCGGGGTAGTGGGGCAATGGGACAGGGGGGCAGGTGTGCATAGTGTGAATCATTGCATAGCGCTAGAAACAAAGGTGGGCAAGGTTTTGCATAGACAGATTCAAAACCTTTGTTTCTTTGCCTGACATGGGTGCGATTCCAATAACATGTGCTTGAAGTGTCAAGTCGAGCAATCTTCACAGCAGGATTTCATTTCTTGAGGGAGACAGATGAATGGAGCAGGGAGGGGGATAGGCAGGTGCCCGTACAGCCGGTCCTTGCACACCCAACGCTAAACCCTAAACCCATCACCTCCTGTAGCTCGGTGGCGCGTCAGAGTCTCAAGGGGTCACTTCCTTCAGACACCTCCAAGCTCACCGCGCTCACCTACCTGTAAGGGTGAATCAGGGAGCGCGCACACAAGCATCTGTACTGCACGTACACAGAGACATGCTGGCTGCATTGCAAAGGGATAAGAGCTAGCGATAAAAACAAAGGTGGGCAAGGTTTTGCATAGACAGATTCAAAACCTTTGTTTCTTTGCCTGACATGGGTGCGATTCCAATAACATGTGCTTGAAGTGTCAATTCAAGCAATCTTCACAGCAGGATTTCATTTCTTGAGGGAGACAGATGAATGGAGCAGGGAGGGGGATAGGCAGGTGCCCGTACAGCCGGTCCTTGCACACCCAACGCTAAACCCTAAACCCATCACCTCCTGCATCTCGGTGGCGCGTCAGAGTCTCAAGGGGTCACTTCCTTCAGACACCTCCAAGCCCACCGCGCTCACCTACCTGTAAGGGTGAATCAGGGAGCGCGCACACAAGCATCTGTACTGCACGTACACAGAGACATGCTGGCTGCATTGCAAAGGGAGTGCCTATCCGTTGAGTGCTCGTGTGCCACACACCAAGGAGAACACGTTTTGGTATGCAATTAAAGACCAGCCTGCTGCCATTGCCAGTCATTTGCACATGGAGAAAGGGACACGGGTGGACAAGTTATCTGCTCTCATCACAGTGAACGGCCTTCCTTCGACCCCCATAGAAGGTGAAAATGCATGTCTGCATCGGCAACAATGAGGGTGTATCGTGCTGCTGCAAGTAGCATCCCTCTCCAAGACATCCTGCCTACAGAACAGTCCTTCCCTTCATGATATGTGATTCACCAAACTTGAATTCTCCCCACCTGCTATAGGGATTTCGGCTACAACCTTTTCGAGGGCAGTCTTGAAACGTTTGCCTCATCAATTAAAGGCATGACTACTCTAAAGGCGCTGTAAGTACCTTCTTCTCTTTAAGAGCTGTAAATCTCCCATCACTGGTAGGTAGTGCGTGTGGTGTATGGTAGATCCAAGCTGACAGTGAATTCCAGTATTATTGCCTAGCCCTTCCTCTTGCCGTTCTCAGATTGTATTCTACGTTGTCGTCCACGTGGGCCCATTCCACTTCCATCCCGCTTGGTGCATTCCTGCTTCTATACCCTTCAGTTTTTTCAGCAACAACTTCTTTGCGGGATCGATTCCCTCCTTCATCGCCTCCCTGCCACAACTCAGCACACTGTAAGCTAATCACACAGCCTAAAACATACGCAGATGCATACAGGAGCCTCGTTGCTGGCCTTCCTACTCACCCTCATCTCTCTTACATCTCACTCTTGTGTTACTGTCCGTGTTATATCTTTCTCCCCCTCTTCTGTTGGCCTCTCAAAACCACCCTACTCCCCTATCCACCCTCCTTCTCTTCCCCCTCTTCCCCCCCCTCTCTATGCCTCCCCCCCCCCCAGAGGCCTCTTCTCCAACTACCTCACGGGCACCATGCCCATCCCTTCCACCTCCCTGGTCGCTCTGGACGTGGGTCTTAACTTCCTCTCGGGCTCCTTCCCTAAGCTCTCCCTCGCTGTCTGTGCGGCTGACCAGAACTGCTTCCTCAACTCCTACTGCCACACCTACGGCACACTACAGCGCCCCACCCTTGCCTATGCCTTCTGCGGAACGACCAATGGGCAGGGGGCGCTGTGCTCTGGTGCACTTTGTGCTCCACTCAGCCAGGGCGTTGTCCAAGTCTCCTCACTGCCGCTGGTGCCCATGGCTTGTCCGGGTGAGTTTCTCATGTTGAGTGGCAGTTAGGAGAGGAGTGGCAGTGAGGAGAGGGGGCTTGTACAAGAAAAGGGCACTAAGGAAACGGCACCAAGTTGATGTCATGTGGCCTAGCATGTGGTGACCGCCACCATTAAAAAAAGAAAGCAACTTCTGTCTGTTTCTTGTTCAATGCGACCATCTAATTCTTGGCTCAGTTGAATTCAGGATTCTTCCAATCATTTGTTGCCAGCATTATTTACCTCATTTCTGTTTTGTCCAGCTGGTCCATTGGTTCGTTGCTTCGTGCCTGGCTGTCCCCATGGTGCCTGTACAGGTTATGTTTTCTTAGTCCCTTTAGATGCTGCCTCAGGTGGGTTTTCTCTCCCTGCACCCTTCTCTCTCAAGCGCTCTTTTCCTGCATCTCCACGTACTTCCTGCATTCACCAATCAAACAACCTACTATAGGCTACACCTGTGCTGCGTGCATACATAATCCTCTTCCCACATTGTCTCTCTTTCCCGGGTGCCCTGATCATGCATAATTCTTCCTCTTCTGCCTTTCTATTTCCGTGTCCGTTCTCTCCATTCAGTGTCCCCTCTGCTTTCCATCAAGTCATCCCTGGGTTTGACGCGCACAGACTGGACCCCTTCTAATCCATGCAAAGGGAACAACATGGGAGTTAGACCTAAAAATCCCACCTGGTTTGGTGTTACTTGCTCCGCTGACGAGTCACCCCTTGAAATGTGAGTGCTCCAAAAACGCACGTATGCATTAGTGTTCCAAGAAATCATAAGTGAGCAGGTGAATCAAACAATCGTGGAGCAATCACACACACTTGTGATTGAGTCTGCTTTGCATATCGCCGCTAGGCTCCTGTTGACAGGTCCAGTGCAGGACAGCCGTTCTACCTGTTCTCTCTTCTCACCACAGCAGCTGTAGAATCAGACTTTGTTGTAACACCTGGGTTGGGGTATATCACCACCAATGGGACGACCCCCACTCTTTGCAATTCATTCGTGGGTCCAGATTTCATCCTCAAGTTTTATACAAGCCCATCCATACTCTTAGTGGTATATCTACCCATGTCTATTGCCCCCTCACCCGCATCACACCCCCCTGGTTGGTGCTGACACACTCTCGGCTCGGTTGCTTGCAGAAAGCTGCAATTTTTTAACCTCGAGGGCACCCTGCATACCGACATCTCCAAACTCACCGCCCTCTCCTTCATGTCAGTTCCCCCCCTCTCCTTTCTCTCTCACTCGTCCTTCCGTTCCACCTGACGGGCTCCACCCGTTCGGCCAACCCAACCCAACTCAAATCTTGCCAGTGGGTCAACCTGACCTGATCCTGGGCAAACGCCTACCTGAACCCTTTTCAAGATGGGTAACCAGTCCAGCCCATGCAAAACCGAGTCATTTGGCGGAATCAACCCGTACCTCATCTCATTTATGGTCCTGCTGGATTAGTACAGACAAGCAGTAACTGTACCGGTGGAGCAACTTGGCGGTCCGGTAGGTAGAAGGGACCACTTTGAAGAATCTTCAAGCGGGCGCATCGGCCACGATCAGCCATAAGTGTCTCTACAAGAATGGTGGAGAAAAGTGGGACCTTGGTGCATGGTGCAAGAGAGATGTGAGGGTGCACAGTGCAGGAGAGATGTGAGGGTGCACGGTGCAGGAGAGTTGTGAGTGGGAGCATTGGCCATGATCAGCCATAAGTCTCTCCGATTGCTAGGGAGATTCAAGGTCACATGCATCACACGAGCATGCTAATTCCAAATTGAGAGCCCTGCCAAAGCCTTTGGTGACTGTTGGGTCCCGGGTGTTGCTTGAAGCGAACTTGCTTGATCTCGCTTGCTTAAGATCACTTGCTTGAGCGCAGCACACTCACTGCCTGAGATGTGACAAGAGTGGATGAAAAGAGGGCATCACAGTCGAAGCTTTTGGTGACTGTTGGGCTCCGGTTGCCGCTTGAAGCGCACTTGATTGGCGCAATGATGGCTGGGCGGCCATGCTGTGTGCTGCCATGCTGTGTGATGTCATGCGCTCATGCCATATGCTGTTATGTTGTTTGCGTCGTTCCCGGTGCTTTAATTGCGGAGATAACTGGTGCAACGAGAGCTAGACTACGGGTTAGGCACGGATGCTCGTGCGATCTCTTCGTTCGTTCGTTCGTTCCTTAGTCGTTTCCAAGTGCTAACACTGCTTGCTAGTTCACGGGGAAAATTGGCAAGAGTTTCACTAGGAAAACATGACAACAAAGGTTTAGAATGATTAGCATCAACATTGGCAACACAGACTACATCAGACCTACCAGGGCTGCTGGTCGACTGCCAGCGCAGCACGGTCGACCGCGTGCCAGCACGACTTGGTCGACCGTGCTCCAGCAGAGCAGAGTCGCGGCTTGCCAACGTTGCCCGTCCGCGGTGTGCCACCGCTGCAGTAAGTCGGCTGCAACAGCTTTGCAGGTGCGCGCTGCTGGTTGGCGCCCAACTCCCCGTCACACGCCCAGCGCAGACACTTCACCAGTGACGGCGCCCACCAGCCACGTCGACCTCGGGATACCACCCCCAAAATCGTACTTGCAGAAACACCCTAACGACATTCGCGCGCGTCGTCCGGGTATCCTCGTTGACCGGGTATTTCGCGGTCCTCCCGCGATTTTGCGGCCACCGTGGCCTACCGTGATTTCGCGGCCACCACGGTCCCCTCGTGACTTCGTGGCCACCGTGGTCCCCCCTTGATTGCACGGCTCCGCCCAAGAGAGGACGGGGCCAAACACAACTCCCGTTGACACTCCCCTGCGGCGTTCACACTTGGAGAATAGCCCGTCGGCGTGCACACAATGCACAGCACGCCGGTCACCGCACCAGCCATGCAAAGGGGCACGGCACCTTGTGCTGCAGCTAGGCCTGTCGCCGCTCCATGTGCTTGAGGTTTCCCGTCAACCTCATGCCCTCGCCGACCGTGATGGTCGACTTGTTGTCCACCCTGAGGACAGTCGGCTTCCCAGCGTCTAGCCGCTGGAACTCCGCGAGGAGGAAGCAAAGGCGACGTCCCTCCTTGCCAGCTTCGACGGCCGCCACGTACTCCGACTAAGTCGACGACAGCGTCGCGCACTTGATGCGCTGGCTCGACCAGGAGACCGCGGCCCCTCCGTAGACAAACACATAGCCGCCCGTGCTCATCCGGTTCTGCTTGTCACCCGCGTCGTCGGCGTCCACGAAGCCGACCAACTCCAGTGATTCCTGACCACCGCAGAACTCCAGGGCGGTGTCTCGCGTGTTGGCGAGGTAGGCGAGGCAGCGGTCCACTTCGCGCCAGTGCTGGTCGCTCCTCACCGTGACGCGGCTCCCCAGCTTGCTGCACGCGAATGCGATGTCTGGCCTCGTCGTCGTCGCCGCGAACTGCAGCGAGCCGACCTTCTGCCTGTACTCCTCCTCCTCACGCTCCTGCGCCTCCTCGTCGTCGAATGTCTGCTCCGCGTAGGCGGCGACGGAGACCGGCATCTTCGGAGTGCGCCCGGTCTACTCCTCGTCGATGAAGCGCCTGCGCAGCTTGTCGGCGTAGCCCTGCTGGTGCAGCCATAGCTTCCCTGCCGGCCTGTCGCGGATGATCTCCAGCCCTGCTGGTGCAGCCACAATTTTCACGCCGGCCTGACGCGCACGATCTCCAGGCCGAGATACTTCTGCACCGACAAAATTTAGCGGCCTCCAGCGGCTCCTTCAGCTCCATCAGCATCGCGGTGCTGCTGCTCGCGGCGAGAAGGTCGTCGACGTAAACCAGCAACCAGCAAGTCACATTGTCGTCGCCGACCTTGAAATACAGAGCCTCGTCGACTTGGCTCTTCTTCCACCCGGCGCCCACCAACACGTCGTTAAGAGCCGTGTACCATAGCAGCGGCGACTGCTTCAGCCCATAGAGGCTCTTCAGCAGCTTGCACACCCGGCCGGTCCTGTCGTTAAAGTGGTCCGGCTGGTACATGTACAGCACGCGGTCGAGCTTGCTCTGCAAAAAGGCGTTCTTCATGTCCAGCTGCATTTGGTTGAGGTCGAGGACAACGACGATGCTGAGGAAAATCCTCAGCTTGACGTAGCTGCTCACCGGCGCGTACGTCTTGTCGTAGTCAGCGCCATACACCTGCGTGAAGCCCTTCACGACCAGCCTCGCCTTTTCGCGCTCGACAGTGTTGTCGATGCGGTACTTCGTTGTCAGCACCCACCGGTTTTTCATTATGTTCACCCCCGGCGGGCGTTCGACCAGCTCCCACATGCCCATGTTGATGAGGCTACGAATCTCCTCCTGCATGGTGGCCTTCACCGCCGGGCCCTTCCAGCTCGCCAACGCCTCCTTCACTGTCATGGTCGAAATGTCTCAACGGTGTTCGGGATCGGCGTGAATGTCGGGATCGAGCTCCGAAAACTCCTCATCCTCCTCGGCGTCATCGTACGCCAGGTCGTCGTCGTCCACATTGTACACCGTGGTGAAGGCAGCGGGGACGAATAAGTCAGGTGGCCTCCGAATTCGGCCCGACTTCCGAGGTCCGGGCTGCACCTCCACCAGGTTGCTCGATGTGCCTTCATCGAACTTCTCCCCTGTCCTCCGCTCCTCTGAAGCAAGCTCCGCGTTCGACGGCTCCCCTGGCGTCGGCTTCTCTGAAACGCACTTCCCGTCCGATGACTCCCCTATCGACGGCTTTTCTGAAACGCGCTTCCCGTTCGAAAGCTCCCCTGCCAACTGCCCCGCGGTCGGCTTCGCTGCTGCATGTTCCCCTATCTGCTGCCTGCTAGCCGCGGGCTTCTCCGCGGTCTCCACCACGGTCGGCGTGGCGATCTCCTCCACGGTTTCCTCCGCGGGCTCCTTCGCAGGTTCCCCCACGGTGTCCTTCGCGGGCTCCCCCACGGTGTCCTTCGCGGGCTCCTTCGCGGTTTCCTTAGCGGTCTCCTCCGCGGTCCCCTCCGCGGTCCTCTTCTCCGCGACTGGCTGGGCGTCACGTCGGCCACCAGCGATGCTCTTGGCCGGCGCCATAGGCGACGCCCCTCGACTCC